GTCTCTTCCAACTCTATGATTCTATGATTCTATGATTCAATAAATCAGCTGTGGGGCACCAGAATGAAAATATGTGAATATATGTGAAAATACCCAGTGAAAATATGAGGCGGTGCTAGTTAGCAGCAGAGGATGCAGTCTTACCAGGGATCTACCATTTTCAGCTGCCCTTGCTAATTGTGGCTAAATTTGTGATTAAGAAGTACATATTTCTTGCTTTCCAAAGAAAAATATGCAATCCACCAAACATTCTAGAACAGTGGTTCCCAAACTTTGGACTGCCAGATGTTTTAGACCTCAGCTCACATGATTCCTAAATGTTGACCAAGCTGACCAGGTGTTCTGGGAGCTGAAGTCCAAAACACCTGGAGGGCCACTGTTGTAGAAGGTGAGTAGCACATAGACTTCTCCACTGTTATATGAACACTATGACACACATACACTGATCTGGTGCTTTGAATGATTACAATCAACAGTGTCTGAGAAAAGGCAGGTGGAAGCCTTGCTAACCTGTGATATCAGGCACATCTCACTTCCAGATAACAACATTCAGGACTCTAGAGGCTTGGAACACTTATATAGCACATTGTTCCATGAACAGTGTGGTGTTATTGCTGCCAAAACAGGGAAGTATCCATGATCTGCTAAGATGAACAGTGCCAGGAGCAGGGAAACACAGCAGTGGGCAGCCCCTGACACCCACTGTACTTGCACATTACTGCCAGAGGGGGTAGTGGATAATTTAGTGGCTCTGTATGTTAAGGAAGAACAAGTGATTTCCCAAGCCAGGGGTAGGCAACCTGTTCCCTTTAAGGGTCGAGGGACTTCAGCTCCCAGAAGCCTCAGCCATGTTGGCCAATAGTCCCATGTTGGCCAATAGCTCCTGGGATTCTGGGAGCTGAAGTCCCTCGGCCCTTAAAGGGGACAGGTTGCCTACCCCTGTCCCAAGCTATCCATCCCATATTGCTTTGATTCCAAGGACTGGTTGGAACCAGGTGACTCCCAAACAACTTTGCAACAGGTCTTGGGAAGTGCAAAATGGATAATTTTGTCAAAAAGCTCAAAACTATTGAAATTCCTCTCTGTCCCTAAATAACTGCAAACCATCCTGCCAACCATGCAGCTGAAGGGAGGAAAAGATGATCAATCAGCTGTCAACCACCTCTGCAGTTTTGCAGCTGGTGGGGAGGGGCTCTGATTACTTGTCATGCTCACCAGGTCAGTCCAAGACATTTTTATTTCACTCTCAGGCAGGTGATATCAGCATGAGATCTCTCTCTCTCTCTCTCTTTTAGGTAAGCAGTGCAAACGCAAGGTCTCAATGGCTGCAATATCCTTCAGATGGACAGAAATAGAATAAGGGCAACATGGCAAGTTATTTGTCTTTAGGCAAAAAACATCAGCAGGACATTGTAATAGCTAGTCTTTTTCTTTCTGAATGATACCATCAATTGAAGGTCATGATGGCCAGTCTTTCCCTCTTCAAGAAAGCACATCAGCAGGATGTCAGGCTAGCCAGTCTCTCCCCTTTGGGCAGCATAAGGTGAACCTGGCAGGTAAATGACATCAGCATGAGGTCACAATGGTCAGCTTCACCACTTCAAGCGAACATCAGCATGAGGTTACAATGGCTGGTCTGTCTCCTTTGGGCAGGCATCTTCAGCATGGGGATGAAATAGCCAGTCTCTCTCTTCAGACCAGAAGCAGTACCCTGTATGTCTCCTTCAGGAACATGTTGCCATGTCAACAGAATAGCCAAACTTCTTCAGACAGGCAAATTAG